AGCGAACGGTGGTACACATGTCGACGAGAAACCAACCCCGCCACGGGGTGCACGAGGCGCTGCCAGCCGCTGTGTAAATCGGCCATAGTCTCGGGGCCGTGGTCGCCTCGTTAATCGGCGCAGCGATAAAAAAGAAACGACCGCGAGTATAGTTTCGGAAACCACTGTACACGATTACGCCGAGGTATTTACGAGCGAGTCGGGAGCACGAGCTCGGCCAGAAGCCGGCAGGTGCTGCTCCGGTGGCTAAAAGGTGGCCGTCCGCGAGACAGCCTTGAGAAACCGTGCACGGGTCGTTGCTTTCGTCGAACGATGAGAAACAAAATTAGTCGGCTTTTGGCCGATCGAGACCGCGTAGATCCCGTTCGCGAGAAAGTTTCTGACCACGACCGGATTATACCTTTGTTCTTTCACGACGGCCGAAGGTAATTCGTCGAATGACTGGCCGTGGCGCCGACAACCCGGCTGGTTTACGGAATTTTTCTCGGTGTCGTTTAATAGATTCCCCCGCGACCGTGTAATTTGTTATACGTTTTTGCGACACGGTCCAGGTAAATGGAAAAGTTCGATCGATTTCGACCGGCGAGCATTTTTATGCTTTCGCTCCGAGCGCGAAATCCATGGATGTATTTTCCACGTTCCTTCGAGAGTTTCCGCCTGAAACTTGCAAGGTGTTGTAAAAGTAGAATGGTGCACTGGTTTCTGATAAATTATGGGGCGGACCGGTACTTCGGTGCCCCCGCAATGGTGCAAATGCACGACGTACTAACGGGGTTAATTTTGCGTTCGTTCTTATTTGTCAATCTTTTTTCTTTTAGGATCATTCCTATTGTTTTTGGCCGTAACTGGGTTTTGCTAGCAAGAAGAGGTAAAAGTAAAAAATTAGGCAGTGGCATGTTATATAATAAATGAAACTCATACAGGAGAAAATAATTTTATTTTTTATAGTCATATTTTATAGATAAGTTACAATTGGTTTTAATGAAATTTCGATAGTCTAGGAACTAGATTTACATAAACTTTTACAAAACTCTGGCGACTCTGGCCACTCTTAATCGTGGATCTGTAAAATTGTGTAATCGAATGAAATCGTATAATCAAGAAACGGTTCGACCATAAATATACGATTTTTAGCGGATTCAGGGGAGAGATCGTTCGATCGTCCCCCCTTCCCAAGAGTTATGAAATCTTAAAAAATATATTTACAATAAAATTCTAGAAACGTTTACGAGCATGTACTTTTATAAATAAATACCCAACGCGAACTTGATTATTTAGACAGACAAAGATATGGTTGTTCTTTTGTATCGTGCAATTGTTTTAACTATACAGGCAATTCGTTATGCTTCGTTACAATTTTATCCATTTTAATGAAAAAATCGTTTCTTTACGGATCTGTCTAAGAGCCGCTGTAATTCAACATTTTAAAGTACACGCATATTTCTGATATCGCAAAAAAATATCTCGGGAAAAATATGTTCCGTTGAATGTGACACATTCTTAAGGTTATGACACTGCAGATCCTTAAATCCGTCGTTGATCAGCTACTAGAGTACATATATGAAAAAAACATGTTCCGTTTAAAAAAAAGTCAAGGAGACTTTCAAATGGTAAAAACTGTCAGATTTATAAATAATTTTAAATATTCGATATAACCCACAGAACATATCTTTATATGCAAATTACGTATCTACTAACATCTTATTATATGAGTGGAAACATTGATCCATAAATTGAAACGTGTAATAACATAAATTTTAAACGAAAGAGTAATTCGACGCTTGGAAATACAGTAACTAAAAATACAATATAGCAAACAAAATATTATTCTTAAACTTTATTATTATATATCTAAAGTAGCCTAACTTAAAATGCATCAACTATAAAGTACATAACGTCTCGCTTATACATGTTTTCGCATTAAAATCATTAACGACATAATTCGTTGGAAATTAAATTTAAAAACAATTTTTTATCGTATATAAATTTTCGATATACAGATGAGACTGTCGACAGAAACGACTTCGGCCGCGGTTAATGGTTAGTACGCGCATAACGCGGTACAAATTAGAAGTAAATCATCGAAGTCTATAAATAATTGCTCGATAGCCGGACACTTTTGAGATCAACGGTATATAGGCGGATCGAATAATCAATGCAAAAGACCCGACAGATATTTTTGCGTCGACCAATCAAACGTACACTACATTTTTTTTATGTTAAGAACCACCAACGGAATAAAGTTTACGACAACGGGACGTTAAAAGCGTTCAAATTTTCGCTCGGGTTTGTCCATAAACGTAAATATATTATATTCGTATAGCAGATACCAGGGCGCAGGTAATAAAAGTTTCAGATATTCCAGAATTATTCTGGAGCGTCTCTCGGGCTGTCCTCGAGAATGGAAGACACGGTCCCGATCGTGTAGGCCCGACTAAAAATCGAGCAATCGCTCGGCTGCCGGGGGAGAAAACGAAGGGTCGTCGGCAGAGAACAATGGAGTACGGTTGCATCTTGGTTCAAGGTCCCTTGGTGCATTTAGATCGGTTTAGACCGAATTCCCCTTTTCACTCTCGTCGGAACCGCTAGTCGCGCAGGTGCACGGTCTACGCGGCCGTGATTTGCAGATTAAGAGGTTACAGGTACCCGCAGGGGCAATTACTTCCCCGAGTCAGTCATATCGGACACTTTCGACAATTAGAAGAAAGGAGGAGGGCCGGTTCTTACGTCGTTCGGTTTTATACGCGCTTCTGAACTGGTTCCTTTTAAAAATTTATCGCAGCGCGAACTTGAAAGCGAACCGAGGGCCCGGTCGGTCCTTTTATTAACGATGTGCTCCTCAACACACGTAACGGCTACATTTCTTGCATTGCCTCGATGAGAATGGAATTTTAATGGCTTTTTCTGCAAGAATTAACGGCCCCGATCGTTGATTTCCGAGATGCGTGCCTTATGTTAATTGCAAAGCTGCGGGGAAAATTGCAAATATCGACGAATCGGTTACAACAGTCCTGTAGAGACCGTGGAATCGTCGCCGACCGAGTTCAAGGACGACGGATCGGAGAAGCTTTACCTAGCTTAACTGATTCGGAGCGAAGATATTCCTGATACATGCCTCGATTTCGGAAAGTTAACCAACGTTGCTACAGAACACGGCTGCGACAACGAAACGAACAAGTCGAAATGTTTCTCTAAAAACAAGATTGACTCTGTTCGTTTTGTACGTTTATATTTGTTTTACCGCGAATTCCATACACCTTGCTAATTCTAATTTCTACAATGTTCCGATTATTATTGCGTCTCATTTTAATCCCTGTACGTATCCCATACAAAATCATGACATTTACACATTTGCATTCTTTAGTCAACCGTAACTAAAGTATGCAACTCACTCCAGAGATAGGTGTCAACGTAGGTACTAGGTTGATGCATATGAAATACCGGATTTTGCGTATTTCCATATAATAGTTGGAGTTCCAGGTAAAACCTTCCGATAACCTACAGATAGATTAAACGTTGATCATACCGTGGTATTCAGGGCAGTGGATATTGACAAATTTAGAAGACTTCAAAATTTTGAATTTGAAAATGCCAGTCACCAGTGACCATCGTAGCAGTCTACGCGTTAATTACATAAGATGTACAGTGTCGGTCGAACGTATTCCACTACTCAAATACTTTTCTTATTATAATTTAATAGGAATTTCTAACTAGTTCTATCGAGTGCTAGTCGATCGTTTGTCTAATTCTGAATATACGTCGTTTTAAGACGATTAATAATAAAGAAAGGTAAAAAGTTGTCCGGATAACCGGCTGGATCGTAAACATGTAACAAGCGGAGCAAGGCGTAATTAAATCGTACAAAGTTGCAGTCTTGGACAGTGGATGGTACGTTTCGTATCGATACGTGGCGCAGTTGAGATTTTCCTTTGAAATACTCTTGACGTCGTGTCTAATTTACGGCGTGATAGGAGTCTCAAACGATCCAACTACGGTTTACGACTCGAACGATGCCTTGCTATTATTTCTCGAGAGCCGTAAATTTCCTTCCTGTTGCATTTCCCTTGCGCGGATGTGCCGCAATGACTGCACGCGCCTCGAAAAAGTACCGGCGAGCGGGTTTTGCTAGGCACCCTATATGCACGCAGAGGTCGTTGACGGGTCTGCGGCGAGAAAAGGGTGTTGCATCGCGAGGTTCACCGCGACCGATACGACGCATGGAACGAACATTCTCGGAAAATGCAGTATCGTCATCGCGTTGTGATAAAACGAGCCACTAGGGATAATAAATCGAATCGCGAAGAAAGATATCTTATTCGTGGTCGTCGAAGGTATTAAAATGTAAATTTTACAGTCGTGTCCCTCGGTAAAAATAAATACACGAACTCGAAGCGTCGATAAAAGTAAAAGAAAAACAAGGATAAAGTAAAAAATTTATTTTCTATGCAATTTCTTGGAAGAATGGCGCTCGAATCCTTGATTAAAATTGCACTTAAATAAGTGTACCAAGGATACTGGCGGTGAATAATTAAATTGCGGGAGCCAACACCGACAGAATTAAACTGCATCCCTCGATCCAGGCATCTCGTGGCATCGCGAAGAGATGGAGCTACGATCCCGGCCAGTCCCGGGCTAGGAATCACCGCCGTGGAAAATCGGTGGTGCAGCTGACGTTCTAGCGCGGATCCATAGGGAAACTTCGCGAAGGCTCGAGCACGAGCGGTAACACGGAGGGGGTTGCAAGCCAGTAGAGACGAGTGCACGCGCCCGTATCCGGAGGCGAACGAAGTGCGGCGCTTTCGGCCGGTAGGTGCGCTCGCACTTTGTGCGCCGGTTGGCCAGAGAGTGGTGGGGAGGGGTGGTACGGTGCCACGTGACCGGAGCGACCAATCAACGGGACGCATAGCCGGCGTCCGGCACATGGCGGCGCGCCGGCTGTAGCACCCGCAGTCGCAGTACGTCGCAGTCAGTCGCAGTGGTAACACGAGCGAGAGGGTAGTTGCACGCGCCTGCCTTCGAAAGGAAAGATCGCGGTGAGGGAGAGGTAAAGAGAGAAAGAAGGAACGAAAGAGAGAGCGCGGCGCCCCTTGCCTCCGTTTTCAGTGCTTCAGTCGCGCGACGACGCTCTCGGACGCTTTAGTCAGTCGGTCGGTGACGAAGCTCCCAAACGTGATCACGCGCCGTTACGTTACGTTACGTTACGTTACGTTACGTTACGTCGTCCCGTCGAAGGGAAAACGAGAGCGAACGAGACGGAGAGAAACAGGAGAGAGGACGAACGAACGAATTATATACACGTATATCGGTTAAAAGGGACAGGCTAACAATAATAATCATAACAACACGAGCATCGGGAGCGACGACTTTGATGGTTGCAAGTCGTGCTCTTTAAACACGAACCTCTACGAACTGTTCCGACCAGTGCAAATATCGAGAAGGCCATTTTCGTCGCTGGCTTTACACGCGGCGAAAGAAAGCGCGCGAGTGAGAGACCGATCGCCGAGAGAAGGAAGCGCGATCGTGGACGAGACACGAGATTACGGACGAGTAGCCCACACGTTTCCAGTGTGCGAACAACACTCACGCGGTGCGTTCGAATACACGCACGTCGCCGAGGAACGGACGAAAAAGGAGCAAGGCGGAGAGCGATCACCGGCGAGTCAACGATTTTATTTTTGTACGGTGCATCGTTGTTTTTCCTAAATACATTTACTCGTGACCACGCACAGTTTCTTGGTGTGAGGCGGCACTCTAGTCCCTCGTCCTAAATAATCGTGTGTGCGGTGTGTTCACGCGCTCGCTCACGCGTGTGTTTTCATTGTTTTTTCCGATCATTTCGAATTAAAGACTCTGTTTAACGTGGACACCTCTGAACGGCCAACGATTCAGCCACGAGCGAAACTACAGCTAACAAAAAAGACGACACAGGTTGTGAAGACAAGCGAGATTACGGTCAAGAGAGAAAAAAATATAGTGAGAAACTGTGATTTACGCCCTGTACGATACACACGTGCATAAGTACTACTGACTTTGTCACTGCGATAAAACGCGATATTTAGTTGAGCCAACATGCCGAGTTTGTTCAGCGAAATGGATCGCGGAGCGAATGGCGGTGCGGCCACTTCCCTCGAGGACCAACGAGCCCTGCAATTGGCATTAGAATTATCTATGCTCGGTCTCGAGGGATCTCCTGGATGCCCAGGAACCGGCACAGGTACCGGCACCGGAACAGCCAACGATCCGGATCCTCTGCAAACGACACCAGCGGGCGTATTCGAGGAGGCACGTTCTAAGAAGAGCCAGAACATGACCGAGTGCGTGCCGGTGCCTAGCAGCGAGCACGTGGCGGAGATCGTCGGCCGACAAGGTAAGCGCGAACATAACTTGGACTCTCGGCGACTTCGCGAAATACGGGCTCGCCTATCGCGTGTGTAACACACCGATGGCGAAACGTATAAATATTGCGTTGATGCACATGAAATGTCATTTATTTGTCACTCGTATCTGAAAAGCGTCAAATCACTTTTAAAATCATCGTACATTTAACCGACGCGGTTTCCATGTGACTTCTTCCAACGATCGAACAGCTTCGTTATTCCAGTTCAATAAATATCAGAAGTTCCGAAGGTCGTAAACTCGTCGACGCTACTTTTATAGATTCTACGTTGCGATGGAACGAAAATTTTCTATAGCAACCGCTCGACGAAAAGAAAACTTTCAAGTTGTAGATTAGGACAGTGTGGTAAAATTTTGATCGTCGCATAAGCATTATTTTTTTATTTCGTGACCAGCCATTTTGTCGATTGTTCTTAATTTGATCGCGCGAGTTTTTGCAACCTCTATCGGCTCGTACGATTTATCCAACTTCTTTACTTCAGCAATCTTTGCAAAGTGACGAACGATCGTAGATTGACTGTGTTCTCAGTGATCTGTTTCAAAATTTCCTTGTTTACAATCACTTTCGGTCAACCTCGCGGTTCGATGTTCAATGCCTCCAACAGCTTTGAATTTCCAACCTCAACTTGAACGCTTCTTAAGTCGATGTAACAGTTGAATCTATGTTCTCCATTATTACTGTGCGATATAAATTTGTAAGAAAAAGTTGTTCAAACATTTCCGGTATAAATTGTATATTACGAAATTATTCGAAAATTTAATGTTGTAACACGTTTCGTTTCCATAAATGTGACACATATAGATAATAGAGTGTCGTATTGTTTAAACTTGACCTGAAACGACATTTCATATGCAGCGACCAAATGGTTACGAGTTTTTTTTTTAAATCGATAACGATTTATCGGGCGACGATAAATTTTATAGTCGAAAAGTAAACTTGAAGTCGTGACTCGATAAATCGTGATTGTATGTACGAGGCTTAGCTAGCTCCAGAATGACACGAATCGTACGACTGCGCGTCAACAAAGATATTCGTTGTACTCTCTTGCTGATATGACCTGCGAATGTCGAAAGCTTTTTTTCATGCGTGTAATGCTCGACCAACGTTGGTCGATTTAATACATATTTTTGCGTCGAATAATAGACGATTAAGAAATCCACGAACGACATCGAGATACGTTTCGAACAGCGTCGCGTTTACGTAAGTCGAATTCGCCGGTACTTTAGTTTGCATTACTCGTTACCGGAATTTGTCGTGTATAGCGCAGCCGACAGACAGTTCATTGGCACGGGCGTGAGCGTAAACGCTGCGAGAAACGCGGTATCAAGTAATGGTGCAATTAAACCAATCTAACTCCGAAAAGCAAATTTATTTGGAAGCACGGCGGGATCGTCGTACAGTGAACTCTGTCGTAGGTCGTGGTCGCTCGTCGAACTACCTTCGCGACGCGGAGGCCAACGTTTAACTTAGTTTCTCGAATACGGTAAAAAGAAAAGTATAGAAAAGCAGTTCGCGTTACGATCGTGATCCAAACGGCATACATATGTATACGATGCATAAATAAAGTATTTCGATAACTTTTTTGTAACCTTCGATCTAGCTATCGACCGTTTCTCGGAACTCTCTCGCCCGTTCTTTTATCCGTGCCGATATCGTCGTCCTCGGGCAGTTTTTTCTCTACCGTTGGTTTCCAAAAAAGGTGTCAGAAATGGAGACCATACTCTGCTCCAATGTTTCCCGCGAAGCGAGTTATTAGAATTCATCATGGCGGGCAGAAACGTTTCACATAATTGTGAAAGCACGTGTATACGTTTTATCGATCGTAACGGGTCGACGAGATGCAATTAAAACGGGTAATGTCTGCGTAATTTTATCGATAATGGTGCGCCAGACGATTCACGAAACGCGGAGATTGTAGTTAGTTATTATCTCGTACTGTCAAGATTAAGCTGTGTTTACGCTAGCTGCCAGTCGGCTGCTCACCAGAGGGCACGAAACGTCAACGACCGTTAAACTTGGAGAATTTCAAACAAAATATTAGGGTGGAGAGTTTTACGAGCCCGTTCGTCCTTCCAAATGTTAAAGCAACGGCCAGATACAAAAGTAACGGACGCGTACGTGACTTGGTCGCTGCGCTGCTACTTCCGATCTTTTTACGCACGCAGCAACCAATAAGTCGTGTCCAGTAATTTTATTCTATATTCAGGACGTTCCCCGACGATGAAAAAACAATTTTCGTTCGTAGCGTTTTATCGAGCACGCGAGACGCGAGACGTCTCGAGGTAGAAAACGTGGCGATGCCTTAGAAACGCGCTGTGAAAAGATAATCTTTCCATTGAATTTCCATTCCGAGCGTGTTCCTTTACAATCTCTAAAAAAACATAATGAATAATGTTCTTCTATTCTCAAAAAATGTCACGGCGGAACGCGCGAGGGGCCACAAATTTTATGAGAATCGCTCCTAATTGATACGTCACATTTTCCCCGCGTCACTCGCGTTCGGTTTAACAATATTTCATCGATATATCGATAACTTATCGATAATCGATAGTCACACCTCTATGTGGGACGCGATTCGTTCGTTCCGTAATGCGTTTCGAAATTGAGAAAACCCGATTGACCGCGACGCGGCGCCACGTGGCTTGCCATTTAAATCTTAAGGCTGTCAGAGATCGCGCGCACGATAAATAATCTCGCAAGCCTGATCGCTGCGATCAATACCGAGTCTTTTGCGGCCTCTCCCCGTGTCTACGGTCGTGAGATTCGCGCTTTTACCGATAGTTCTCGAAGATAGCGAAAACGGCACTCTTTTTGTTTGAAATCATTCGATCGTGCCGTTTGCAATTTTTATCGGATTGTTTTTCCCGTTGGTCGATCGCGATAGAAGTTGACGCATTGTCGGAGTAATACCAATATTTTTTTTTTCACCGCGTTTCGCGTGCTGTCACTCGATACGTCGAAGGGAAAGTTTAGTGGAATATAGAACGCTTGTAAATACACGCGGAAGGGACGGCTATCGATGATAGCACGTGCCGTCGATCGATCATCTACGCCTCGCTCTTGGCCATCGGCGCATCTGCGTCACGTAGAAACGCGTGCGCAATTTACCCCGCTCGATACAAATTTTGCAAAGTCGAAATTGGACGGTTGCCCGAACAACTTGGCATATCTTGCGTACGTACGTTGAATTAGAAATCGATAAAAATCGCGCGCGCTCTTCTGCATTCTTTTCAGTCGAAATCTTATTCACGTTATTTACTTTGTTCGTCACGAACTGGAAGAAAATTACAAACTCACGATTAAAATACGAAATTTTCACGTCTACTTGCCACGCATATGCGCATTCGATATATCTTCTTTTAATTCTGTACGTAACATATTTCAACGTATGAAAATACAAAGTTGTGGGAAATTCTAAGTGATAAAATTACGAGTTGACCGAGATACGTATGAAATAGTTGGCAGATACATAAGAAGGTAGCGTGAAATTAGAAGTATGATAAGAGGTCAACGGAATGATTTAAACAAAATATTTTGGTACACGAAGGCAAATCGGAGAGGCGTAAATTGAACAAACCAATAAGAGAAATCATTTTATTTGCCTCTAATTTCTCTTATCGTAGCGGTACCGTTAAGAATACAGCTAGAAAATAATGCGGTAGGATGACGTAGAGTCCCTCTTTTTCGGTCGAGTTCAATGTCTCGCGTGCTTTATTGCATCGATATCATTTTCCACGTCGCGCTAGAGCAACGTTGGTCCCCGGTATCTGATCGATAGCGTTTTATTATATCTGAATAACAGTACCTGACAACGGCGCATCGCTCCTCCGATGCCAAAATCGTTCCTTCAACACCTCGCTATCGCATATACAACACGCCGTATATATAATTTTCATCTGTCTCACCTTTTTGCAACACTTATCGTTTCACGTAGATGCGATTCTCCTTTCAAAGTTTCTTTGCAGCAATTTATTTCTTTTAATTCTGGGTGATTAGTGTCAATTTAAGTTCATTATTTGGTAAAATCGAATTTATTACTTATTTTATTATCTTTTTCTGACGTTTAGATTATTATTAATCTACTATTTGTTATTACAACTTTTAAAATGGATATTGTCCAAGGTAGAGTAACCTAAACCAACGAATTTATTCGTTCACTGTTTATAATTGACTCTACCCTCGACGTAAGAGAAAACGATGGCGTATAAAAGGAAGCCGTACGAGGTCTGCGGTCATCACGCGAGACGCACTAATATTGACCGTCCAATAACATTAGACGGACACCTAGAACGGTGTCAAGACTATCCGTGTTTTAAATTCAGAACCCGCGACGGATTTCCGTACGTGCTTATCGTCCCTTCCGTTCGCCTGGGCTTTCTCGCATCCTCTGTGGGGCCGTGTCGCGCGGTTTGAGAACCGCTGGCATGGTGTCGTGCGACCAAAACGCGCGTAGAAGCGAGTACACTCGACGCACGGAGCGACGTTATCGTTGAAACAATTTTCATTTATCTCCAATTATCGATCAAACTTTCGCGTCATTCTGGTCGAGAAACATTCGATTATACATTTGTTCAAGTTTAAATATAGTTACGGGTTCGAGTAACACTTCTATAAAAGGTGTCCCAGCTATTACGTAACTCAGAAGAAGGTTCTTCGTATCGAACGAAACATTTTCGTGCAACCTTTCCTCATCGAGAGACGATATATGTATATTTGATTAAATTTTATTTGAAAAAAAAAGAACAGTAAGAGCGAGTGAAATACGATTAGTACGATACAGGAAGTTTTATGAAATAGCGTGGATAGCCTCGTGACAAGTCCCCCGGAAATTTTGTAATTTTATTCGTATTTGAATTTTAAATGGTATTTAATAATAAACTGCAGTCCATTTTCTCTTCTGGACGAGTCTGTTTATGTAATAGAATATTTTGTAGAATTCGTTCTCGAAGCACTACCATCGGGCGAGCATG